AGCATTTCTTTTTGACATGAATCTGAACCTGCTCTCTCTCAGCCATTCCCCCTTGTCCACAGTCCCTCCCCAGCTCTCTTGGAGCCCCTTTAGATACTGAAAGGCCATAGTAAAGTATCCCAGGAGCCTTCTCTTCTCCAGGCTGAACAACCCCAATTCTCAGCCTTTCCTTATGGGAGAGCTGCTCCATCCCTCTGATCATCTTCACAGTCTCCTCTAGACCACTCCAACATCTCCACATCCGCCCTGTGCTGGGACCCCAGAGCTGATGCTCCACCTGAGCAGCCTCCACAGCCACTCACTGCCATCTCCTTACCTGGCTGGATCAGGCTGGAAAGCCCTGGAGATGGATTAATTCCCTGAATTCTGCTCTTGGGGCTGGTCTCAGGGATGGGGCAGGGCTGTTGTGCTCAGGGGTGTTTGGGAGGGCTGGGGAGCCTTCCCTCATGCTGGAGGTCTGGAACCCATCCCTGAGCTCAGCTGGGCAGTTCCTGGAACTCTTTATCTGGGGCTCAGCAGGGAGGGTGGGAGCAGGAGGTGCTGCCTCAGCCTGGAGCATTCCCCCAGGCACTGACTCCACTCAGCAGTTCATTAAAGCAGGAGCTGGCTGATCTCACCAGCCTGAATCCCACCTGATTGCTGGGAATTAGGAGGAGCTGGAGCCATGACTTACTCCTTATGGGCAGCATTCATTGGATGGATAGTAAGTACAGATGGAAATCCTGGGATCCTCTTCCCCCACTTGCTGTCTTGGCATTTGGGTACTTCCAAATTAAAATCTGTGGGCTGTGACCCTTAAGCTCTCTTGTTGTGGTGGGGTTTTCAGTGTTGGTTGGTTTCAGTCTGATGTTATGTTCTGATAATTCTATAATTCTGTTTGTGCTCCAAAATATATAATTCACCTCTTAGTCCTTCAAATTCTTAGAGTAATTGTAGAATAATTTAGGTTATAAAGGATTCTTGTGCTGATCAAGTCCAGCATCCCATTCAAAGCAGAGTCAACCACAAAATAATATCATAAGATATGAATTGGTGGAGGTCTGTTGCTCCCTTCCTGGCATTCTGCAGGAGAACAGCTGGAATACTTTTTGGGATTTGTAAGAACTTGTGAGCTCTGCTAAAATGCAGTGTCACACTTAAGGGGCAATTTGACCACATTTTTTGCTTCTTTAATTAAAGTAAGCAGAGGAAAAAATGGAAAAAAAAAAAAAAAGAAAAAAGCAGCCCTTTTTAAGAAATCAGCACCATTTTTTCTCTGAGTTGTATATTAGCAAGGCAGATGGTCAAAACTTCCTTCCATTGTGCAGTTCCTCTTCATACCCAACCCATGCCAGTGGGATTTAGCTCTGAACATTCACACTCAAGCTGTGGGCTGTCACTTTGGCTGGCTGATGTCTCGGGCTCCTTGGCAAACAAAGATATTTTTGAAACTGTCTGTGCAGCTTCTGACTCAGGAGATCTCTCAGAGCTGGCTCCTCCTGTGCCAGGTCTTCATTTCCCATCAGTGCAGGAGGGTTTTGCACGTAAATGTCTGCATTGACCCAGAGCTAGGGGTAATTTTGGGGCTGGTGGGACCAATGTTGTGTGTGCAGCGTTTTCAGGAACGGGAAATTGCAGGAGTAATCAGCCCTGGAGTGTAGCCAAGCCCAGCTTAATTCCAAGGGAAGACTGAAAGAGGCATAATCATAATGGCTCATTTTAGAAGAACCAGAGGCAAAGCAGGACACAGCTCAGCTGCTTGATTTTATAGAAAAATTAAGTAGATTTTTTTTCCCTAGCTCCTGGTGTAAGAATTGAGAAGTTAAACATCAAAGCTTGGAGAATTACAGCATTTGAAACCTGAATCAGGCGTGGGTTTTATTTGATTTGGGAGATTTTTCTGCCATCATAAATTAGAAAAGTTCTAATTTGGGTTTATCTTGTGTGCTAAAAAGACACCAGACCCCTCTTTACTGCTTTTTCTTTTGGGATTATTGGTTTTCCAGTTTCCTGAGTATTCTGTTTATAGAGGAAATGTCTTCATGTGTTGGCTGCCTTGAGTCTTTCAGGAGTGTGATGACAATAATAGAAAAGAGATCTTCAAATGAAAAGCTAAAACTCTTCCTTCTTGCTAATAATCACCTTCTGGCAAGGAAAATCTTCCTGGTTTGTTGTCACTTCCTTCCTCAGCACCCCCTCTCCTCTGAGCTGCTGCACAGGCTATAAATTGCTTTTCTGCACTGCTCTCAGTGCCCCCAGCCAACACCTCCTCCACCAGCCAAGGAGAGGATCAGCTCCTCTTCCCACTCCTTATTTTTCTGCTTGGTACCTAGACAGCATTTATTTTTCCCAATTAATCATTTGGCACCTTAAAAAATAAGTGTTGAAAGGGTCTGTCAGGGAAAGACACAATCGTCTTGAAATAAGCAGCTTCCTCCAGAAGCAAAATGAAATAATGATTCTGAAAGTAACAAAGCCTTCAGAACACAGAGTACTCCTGATTTCCTAGAGTTGGAAGTGTTTTATTCCTGACATTTAGACTTTGTTTGTTGTATTGAACTTAACTTCACGGCACCTTCAGAAGCAGTAATTTTATTTCTTTTTCTGGCTTGTTTTGGGTTTAGCACCCAGAAATAACTCAGCTAATGGTGTCGTTCTTGGCAGAAGTGTAAAATGTTGTCAGGTTTTGCTGAGCCTTCACAGGAGTGGTGTCTTTGCATCTAAACTTGACCCCTGTGGCTGCTGAGCCGTTGTTATCTGTGCTGCCCACACCCCTCCTGCACAGCCCCCAGGGCTCTGATAACTCACTGCTGGGTAAACAAGGGCTCCCCACTGCTGCTCCTCCTGCCTCCAAGCTTTTTGAGTCTAATTTCTAGCAGAAAAAACATGAGTGATTGCAAATAAAATGGTGCCATGTGTAGAGGGCTTTAGTTGTAACCAGTGGAAAGCACTGTACAAACTGATGATAAGAATAGGACTGACATTGAAAAAAATTCATAATAAGCATCAAGGTGGAAAAAAACCCCTGAATGAGCATGGACAGTTGGAAGGAAAGTGAGAAGAGCCACTGGTATTTGTTAATGCCTTTCCTGGAAGGGCAGCCACCAGCCAAATTGTTCAGGCCACTGGGTGAGAGCTGAGCCCAGGAGTCCCTGGAGCAAATCATGGGATTGGGAAGCTGCAGAGGGAATTTGTGGAAGGCAAAACATAGAGCCAAGCCAAGCCAAAGAGGAGGAAATGCCCTGTGGTTTCTAGGAAATACCAGACTGTCTCCTGTGTTGGAAGCAGCGTGTGCCTGGCTCGCATTTGGAATCTTGTACCTGGCATGGACTGGGAAATGTAAGAGCTTAACTCGCCTCCAGGCATTCATGTACTTGTCTCTATTTAGATATCTATGTAGGATAGGTTGGACTCCATCTTTTTGAGGTTTTTTTCCAACCTTAAAGATCCTGTGATTGCATAAAGTGTAAGAACCAGTGAATTCTGGGGCTGCAGGAACATCTGGAGAATGAAAAGCAGGAAATGTCTGTTCCATGTAACTCACAAACTGAGCCTGTTTTATTTGAGTATTGCAAACAGAATTTAACTTGGTCTTTAACTTTGAGGTGCATGGTGATAGCTGGAGTAAATGGTGGAACCTTTTGTATTTTCTTTGCATGGTGATAGTTGGTGTAAATGGTGGAACCTTTTGTATTTTCTTTGCATTAAAACACAAATAACTTTGTCAGCAGCAAAGAGCACAACAAGGATGAAGAGTGGCTGTGGCCACTGGGAAATAAGAACTGGTTATGAGAACTGGAAGTGTTGTGGGACTTCTTCAGTAGCCAGGTGTCAGCACTGCTGAATTATTCTTAATGGTTTTACAGTCTTAAGGCAGCATTCTATAACTGTACAAAATTAAGGGAACAAGTAAATGTACAATCTCTCTTTTTACCCCCAATAGTATGAAGGAATTCTAAATATTAAATATGGAATTTCTTAATTATTGTTTCTATGTGTGTGCTGCCTGAAGAGGAGGAGTTGTGTTCTAGTCCAGCAATGTGTTCTGCTCAGTGAGTTGGAGGCCGGGGCTACTTACAAGGAGAGAAAAATCCTTGCGTTTTTCCAAGGACAGGTGGAAAACCATGTAATTTGCTGTCAGATAAAATCTTGATAAGCAAAACTGATCTGGAGCTGAAAGCCGTGTTTGTATTTGTTCAGGGTAATGAAGGTGAAAGAGACCAACAGTTTAATTATCTGCTCCCAGTGTAGGATTTCAGGAGCTCTTTAAGCTCCCTGAATAACTCTGCACAACTGCAGGACTGGGCTGACATTGGTGTGCTGCAAATCTGGGGTGCCAGCACTGACCCACTTCTCTCCCTGGAAAGCTGAGGGCCTGGGATCCACTCATTCCTTCTTAGGAAAGCAGCAGATCCATGAAATAAAAACAGTCAGGAAAGGAGAGGTCAGAGTAAAACAAAGCAAACCCACTGTGGTCTGTCCTGGGTTGGGTTTGGATGTTACATCTGTTTGTAGAAGGCTTTTTGTGTCTGGCCCTGTGGTTATTTATTTATTTATGTATTTATGCATTTTATTTTGAATGTCTTCCAAAGAAAGCTTGAAAAAAAAAAAAGGATTATTTTATTAAACTCAGGAAAAGAGCAGTGAAGTTGATGTTTGCCTGCTGTGCTTGAGGGGATGAAATATCATTCCCAGCACAATTCCTTGTGCTTGCATAGGTGCTTTGAGAAGCTCTGTGCAACCTGAGATAAGAACAATATTAAAGCAGCATGGAGTTCCTGAAACCAGGGAGTCATCTCCAACCTCTGGGATCCTTTATTTGCCCAGGAAAACAATTACTGTAATTATTGTTCAGAGAATTACTGCACAGAGAGTTGTCGCTCCGACTCCACAGCAGTTCTTCGTGTTTAAGTTCATTTCCCAGCTGAGTTTAATTGTCAGATTCTAAGCTGTTATGGTCTATAAGGCTTGTTAATCCCTCAGGCAGGGGCTGGAGCACTGACTGGAGGTGTTTTTTGCAGGACCAGCTGAGGAAATGCTTCTCCAGGCAGCCGCCGGGGGCGAAGGACACGGACACGCTGGTGCAGGAGCCCGACAGCCAGTACGGCACCTGGAACGAGCAGAGGCACAGCAGCGACAGGTGAGGGCTCTGCTCGGCTGGGGAGGGGGGGAATGCTGAAATCCCACCATCCCAGAGTGCTTTCATGCTGGAATGGCCTTAGAGATCTCCTCATTCCAACCCTCGGCCACGGGACGCCTTCTGCTAGAGCAGGGTGCTCCAAGCCCTATTCTTAGATTCTTCTGTTGGTGAACTACAATGATGTGATAAACACCAATCACTTGTTTTTAAAATTTTTAAAAGTTTAATAGTAATAAAATGGTTATAAAAATAGTAACACAATTAGAGTAATAACAATTTGGACAAATTGAATTAGGACAATATGAGACAATAAATACAAAGAGTTACGGATGTCCGGGTACGTTTTTCTGGGCAGCACGAGCCTGAAAAAGGACACGCGTTAAAAAAGGGTTAACCCTTAAAAGCAACAGCCTGTTGCATATTCATACATTTCATACATGATGCATAAATTCTATTCAAATACAGCATTCTGTCTGGTCAGCATCAACTTCTTCCTTCAATCATAACAGTGCCTTCGAGGCAGGAAGAAGTTAATTTCTTCTTATAAGAGCAATAAATTCTTTTTCTCTGAGAGATTTAGCTGTCCTGTGGCTGCTATCTTGCTGCGAGTCCTTTCTTTTAAAAAAAATCCTACATAGCATTGTTTCTATTCTAACCATTTTATAACTTAAAGCTATATTTAATGCAGTACTTAAGAGAAATAATACAGCATCACTTTCTAACACAACACATAATATTCATTTTAGTATTTGCGAAAAGCCAATCATAAAATACATACATTTTTCACAAATGATTAAGTTAAAATCACATACACAAAATTATGCATATAACAGCATCTCTTGCTTGCAAAGTTTAATGAAATTCCTTTTTCCAGTAAACCTGTTTAATTTCATCTTCTTGCACTCTAAGTCTTGCACTTCCCTCGCAGCATTTCCACTGCCAGCCCCACGGTGTCACATCCCATGGGGACCAAATGGTGTCACAGCCTCCTGTTGTGCTGGGGGAACCTCCAACCCTGGGCATTTCCCACTATTGAATTTTCAAAGGTTCCATTTGCTTTTGCCAAAGCATCCTCCTATCAAATCTCTTATGTTAACCAGGTCCAAAATCCATCATCTGTCTTGTGTCCCCCAACATTCTAACACACTTCTATTTGTTTTAAAGTCTGATTTTCTGTCATTGCCTTTCCTTTAAAAATACTACCAGGTGGGGTGAATGGCAAAATCCCTCTGGAATAGCAGAGTGGCAAAATCCCTCTGGGGCTCAGGTGGGGTGACTCAGGGTGCATCTCTCCATGCCCACATCTCAGACTCTCAAGTGTTTTATTGGTGGTGAAGTGGGGGATGAAATGGAATATCAGCTGAGTGAAACTGATATTGAGTATTGCTGATGCTTTTCTGTTCTTAGAATGATTTAGTGAAATAAGCCTAGAGCAGCAAAGTGTGAGGTTTTTTATAGTTCACACCTGTTGTGTAAATTGCAGCTTGATCTACCCTGAACTTGTATCATGTCTGCTCAGTGTGGTATGAAGATAGCATTTTATCTGGTTTCTAATGCTATATTTGTTGGGATCTTAGAGCAGACATTAATGTCAATTACGTTTGGTTTGTTCTGCACTTGAGAACTGTGTGCTATGAATATTTTTATTGCTTATGAAATCAGGGTAAGGACCAGCTCGAGGCTCAGCAGCCAAGTGAGTGCCAACAGTGACAGCCAGGCTGCTGTAAAATTAACTTGGATTCCAGGATGGTACAGACATTTCTGAGATCAGTTTCTTAACAAAGGTGCTTGTCTCAGCTTCACAGCAGACAGCACTGGAGAGTTATTTCAATCCATCCATCCATCCTGATTAGAGCAGCTCCACCTAAACATTCCGGTTCACTGAAGGATTGGACTCAATCCCATGTGCTGGAATTTTGTTTGCACTGCAAGAAGTGTTTAGATTTTGCCTTTTTTAAAGCATAATGGTGACAGGGTAGAGACTCTTCAGCATTTTACCACCCCATTGCTCTGCTTTATTTTGACTTACAGCTCATTGCAGGGGAATTACTGCTGTATTAATTCAGGCACTTGAAGAGAAATGAGATTAATGTACTTCTAAGTAATGGAAGTCTTCCTGGAATGTATTGAACGTGCATTTTGTCTGCAGTTTGTTTTGGATGAAGTGCCTGCCAGGAGCAGTGCAGACGTTCTCCTCACGTTGCTGTGGGTGCTCTGAGCAGGGCTCTGCCTTTGGTGCCTCCTCCTCACCCCAGCTGGAGGCAGGAGCTCTCAGGAGATGTTGCTGGTTCAGTTTTCCTGTTTTGGCCTGGCTGCCTTCCCTGGGAGCATTTCCACTGCCAGCCCCACGGTGTCACATCCTGCAGGGACCAGAGGGTGTCACAGCCTCCTGCTGTGCTGGGGGAACCTCCAGCCCGGGGCATTTCCCACTATTGCAGCCATGCAGGGATTGTTTCAGGAGTGAATGACCTCATCTTCATGGAATCAGAGTCCTTAAGGTTGGAAAAGACCGCTGAGATCACTGAGTCCAACCTTCACCTGAATCCCTCTGTGGCCTTTAAACCAGGCAGTGCCACCTCTGCATTTGGAGACTTCCAGGGGTGGTGACTCCACTGCTTCTCTGGGAGAGGAAGGGAATTCTGAAATCAAAAGGCAACAGGATGAACACTGTCCTTCTCCTAGATGAGCTTTTGGAAGGTGAAGGAAGGGGTATTTTCCTCTAGAACTGAGTCACTGCTGGAATTAGCATAAGGAGCTCCTCCAGTGGGCTTTGGCCAGTAACTCCTTGGGATGGACAGGGATGAAGGCATCTTCTCCCATTTGGAGGCATTAATTGGATTTTTCTTAGTTTATCTAAAAGATTTTATTTTCATTTTTCTCAAGTGCTTGAATAAACTTCTGCAAATTGGCACTGTACAAAACTCTTTTAGGTTAGAACAATCTTCATAAGGAAAATTATTGTTTTTTACAGGAAAGGAATTGATTTTAGATGGTGCAGCCATACAGCTCTGACTCCTCATTTCACAGACACCTTTTTATGGCCTCTATACACTGTCTTGCTAAAACTAATTAAATTTAATTGCAGTTGGAAGTGAGGATTGCTGTCAGTTTATTTTCCATTGTGATAACCATCCTGCTGGGTTTGTGTGCTCCATGTGAGGGATGATTTCTCAGAGAAGTGTCTGTAAATGTACCTGTGGAGCATCAGGGGCAGCACATGGATATGCTCACAAACCCTAAAATCTTAATGAAGTAATAGACAGAGGTGCATGATATATCTCAGTAATGAGAACTGAAAATATGTTTTCAGTTTCATTTTTCTGAAGGGAATTTTCCCACTAATTAGCTGTTCACTGGAAAGAATCCACTGCACATAACTTTGGTTTGGGCTCCAGGAATCCCTCCCACATTTGGGGATGAGCTGTGCCAAAGGGGTTGGTGGATGGGGCTGTAATTGTGCAGAAACTCCAAAGGAAAATCCATTGGGAAGGTTTGAGAATGAGGAACTACCAATCAGTGCTAATTCAGCTGGATTTCTATCACATCTTGCTCTCAGATATTTCGGTTTTAAAAACCTCAGTGAATTGTATCAGCTGCAGCCCTGGGGTGTAGCAGGGAAGAAAGAGACTTTTTGGAGATGTGCAAATCCAACAGAATCCTTTCAACACACACTTTAATTTCCATGAAAGGTCCTGCAGATTGTCCCTCCTCTCTCCATTCTTCCATGTTGCAATGGCTCTAAAGCCTCAATGCTGCAGATACCAAATATCATTTCAAGCAAAAACCCTAAACAAAAAACTTTCCCCCAGAGCTCATTAGTGCCATTCCTAATTATCCTGGGGCCCACTGGTGAGGGTGGGAAGCAGCATTCCCTCTGCTTGGGTGCTGGAAACCCTCTGGGCAGTGTCTGCTCTGCCAGACTGGACATTGTACCATGTGCTGGTGCTGATGGAATGCTGTTATCCAGCAGGGAACTCCTGAGTGGTTTTCTCCTGGGATTGCTGTACCAAATACTGAGGTTTATTGCTTTAAAGATGGGCATATGTTGGTATATATGTGGGGGTTTTTAGGTTTAGGACAGTTTTCCTAGGTATGTGCCCAAGAAATGCTGCTTAGTGGCAAAAGACTTCTGTCAAGAGGAGAAGAAAAAAAATCAGAGCTAAATCCTTTAAGTTTTGGGTTTTTTCAAACTGGGAGTTAGAAGCAAGACAGCCCAATTTTTACTGACAGTATTTCAAGGAAAGCAGACACAACAGTGTCCAGCTTTCAGCTCTGACCCTGCAGCTCATTCCTGTCAGTCCAGGCCACGGGAGGAATTTTGGGAACACACTGGGAGCATCCCAGCAGCGGGGAGCAGGTGCTGCTGCCCTCCTTTGTGAGGCAGGAGCAGCTCTGCCCATGGAGCCCTGCCTTAGGCTGCCACCTGGTGCCCAGCTCTCTTCAGCTCCAGCTTTCCTGAAGGAAAAACAACTCTGGCTGGGTGGAATCCACCCCAATCCCCAACACACCCTGAATCCAAGGGTTGAGGGCTTGTGGTGGTGTTTGCAGGGGTCTTAGGATGAGGGAAGAGATGAGAATGTTGACCCTATGTTTCAGAAGGCTTGATTTATTATTTTATGATATATGTTATATTAAAACTATACTAAAAGAACAGAAGAAAGGATTTCATTAGAAGGCTAGCTAAGAATAGTTCAAGAAGGAATGATAACAAAGGTTTGTGGCTTGGACAGAGAGTCCGAGCTGGGCTGTGATTGGCCATTAATTAGAAACAACCACATGAGAGCAATCACAGATGCACCTGTTGCATTCCACAGAAGCAGATAACCATTGCTTACATTTTGTTCCTGAGGCCTCTCAGCTTCTCAAAAGAAGAAATCCTCAGGAAAGGATTTTTCATACAACACGTCTGTGACAAGGGCTGTGCCAGCAGAAGGGATCCACTCCGACTTTCTGTTCCACTTTCATTTAACCCCTGCTGACCCTGTGAGATGCAGCCTGGCCTTGCAGGTCTCTGTTTGCCCTGAACTCACACAGATTCCTTTGCTCACTTGCAGCTTTGTGGGAGAGTCTCCCTCCCTGGACAATGAGGTGGTGTCGGGGCGGAAGCCGCCCGCGGGCAGCCACCCGTCCTCGCTGTCCTCGCAGACAGAGCCTCCCTCCCTGCCTGAGCACCATGACTTCTCCAAAGAGCAAAGGAGCACCAGCCTGGACCGCTCCAGCACGGACATGGACTCCACCGATGGCACTGATGTGCCTCCTGCAGGGGACGCGCTCCCTGAGGACAAGAGTTATTTCTCCTTCATTGATGTGAGTTGTTCCATCATCTGTTCCCTCACTTAAGCCTTCCCCATTTCCTTCTGGAAACCTTGCCCTGCCTTTCCCACTCTGAATTTTCCCAGCTGCTTTCCTGCCTGAAAAGTTTAGGATCAAAACTACAGAGTTCTTCTAAGTCTCTGTGGTGTTTAGGTTCTGAGAGATTCCATAAAGCTGCTGGCCTTGGATAATCAATCATGGAATCCCAGACTGGTTTGGGTTGGAAAGGATCTTAAAGCTCATCCAGTTCCACCCCCATCCACACCTTCCACTAGACCAGATTTTCTGCAAGCTCCATCCAACCTGGCCTTGGACACTTCCAGGGATGAATATTGGAAGCATAATTAAATAACACAAACAGTCAGTGACTGCTGTGCTGTCAGCCATGCAGATTTAAGGCTCTAAGGACCTTCACTAATATTTTTCTTATTTATAATTGATTTCTTTCCACAGTAGCTCACAGTTGCATTTTAAAGGATTTTTTTTAATATTGAAGAATCTTGCAGTTGGTGTAAGACCAGCAGTTTCTGGCCATACACAGTTAATGAGATGTAGTGCTGCAAGAAATTAGTTTGGAAAATCCCTCTCAGAACACTGAGTCCAACTGTTCCCCCAGCACTGCCAAGACCACCACTACCATGTCCCCAAGTGCCACATCCACATGGTGCTTTAGCACTTCCAGAAGGTTTTGTTTTGTCCCTGGGCCACTGAAGGTGTCTCTGTAAAACATTAATAGCTCTAAGTGCAGCTGGCAAATGCTGTGTGAAAAGTTGTTTATTCCTGACCTGAAATCTTTTGTAAAAAGGAGCAAACCCACATCTTCTGGAGAAAGGAAGGCTCAGGGATGTTTGGTGGTTACAGGCAAGTCTATAACAGCACATTGCTTTAAGCAAGTAAATAAATTACAGCTCCATGTTTTGCTCTGTAAATGTTACTGTTTATTGGATATGTTGGAAATGACTGATCACAGAAGGTTTCTGAAGGCTGGGACACTAAACTTGGAGTGTCCTTCTTGCTGGTGAATGGCTTTGAATGTTTGTGACTGGCAGGGAAGCTGCAGCTCTGCCCTCCAAGGGAATTTGGTGTAGCTGTTCTTTTTAGATCCCAGTTTTGGGATTTGCCTTCAGCTGCTACCGGCTAGCAAGGCCTATGTTCATAAAACACTCCAGGAACTAAACTCCTGATTATTGCAGTTATTTTTTATATTAATGTAGTGCAAATTATTCATGCAACTCAGGTATCCACAGCCTAGAGAGATCAAAGGATTACACCCAGTTAGCCACAAAGTGCTGTGTCCTCATCATTACACTCTTTAATATGAATTTAAGTGACTACCATAATAATAATCAGACAAATACCCATTTTAATTGGTGGATGCAATCAGGTGGGTTGGGATTTCAGTGTGGAGGATCTGGGGCTCATTCCCAGGTGTGTGTTTGTGCAGCACACAGATGTCCTGGACTCCAGTGCTCTCAAGACTCGGGTGCAGCTGAGCAAGAAGCGTCGGTGCCGGGCGCCCGCGTCGCACTCGCTGCGCAGGAGCAGAGGGCTGGACCTGGACAACAGGTTCTCCTTGACAGAGGAGTCAGACAATGGCTGGATGTTCAAGGATTCCACAGGTAACCCCTCAGCTACCTGCAGTAATTGGTTGTGGTCAGCTTGAGTGCAAAGGCTGTAAAAGGTGTTTTTTAAATACTGTGCTTCATTCCTGCTCGAGTGCAGGAAGAGATGTTGGGCAAGGCAGAGATGAAAGGCCAGCTCATGGTTTCCCCTTCTGCCTTTTTTTTTTAATTAAAAATAAATTAGAAGAGAAGAAAACTATGCAACAGGAGGATTCTGAGGAGGAAGACAAGATCCAGCACACTCCGAGGTCATCTTCTGTGCAAGCCCAGAGAATGCCTGTGTTCCCAGGGATGGATCATGCTGCTCTCAAGGTGAGCTCAGGCAGAGGCCAGTAGGTGGGAGATGAACCAATTCAGTTCCTGCAGGTGCTTTTTAAGGAATCCCCACCAATTCAGTACCTGCAGGTGTTCTATAAGGAATCCCCTCACCCATTTCAGGGAATTTTTTTTATTTTTATGAATCTGGAGTGATCTGCGCTGTATTCCAAAAAAAAATAGCCTGGATGCTGGCTTAAAAAGACCCCTTTGTTTATTTTTATCTTTAGGCCCAGCTGAGGAAAAGACAGGAGTCTGAGAGCGCTGGTGACACCGGCTCTGCTCAGCTCTTCAAATCCCCCAAAGCACAGCTCGGCGCTCCCAGCAGCAGAGTGCTGCCCTCCAGTGTGGAAAAGGAGGACAGGTGAGGGAATCCCAGCTCCTCTTGGTGGAAGGAAAAAATAATGCAACCAGCTGTACATTGCTTTTTTTTTATTGTTGTTTCTGTCAGGAGTTTTCATAATGAAAGAATAAAGAGTATTTTATTTTTTTTTATATCATAGGTCAGAAGAAAAGTCTCCTCAGTGGCTGAAGGAGCTGAAATCAAAGAAGAGACAGAGCCATTATGAGAATCAGGTTTGAAAAGGTACTTGGGTAGGAAGGAGGGCTTTGCTGGGTGCAGGTGTGCAGTGACAAACTCACATTTCCTTTGATGTGTTGGTGTCACCACTGTGGCCCCACCAGCACTGCCCTTACCCTGCCCTGTGCACCAGGGGTGTCAGGGACTGCTGCCCCTCCACTCCCAGTCACAGTTCCACTGATTCTCTGCACATAATCTGATTTCCATAAGGGATTTCCCAAAGTTTGAAAACTTTGTGTGGTTTCAGCACAATTCTGGGTGGTTCTTAAGCATTTAATGCATTAAATAGACACAACCAAGGTGGCACAACAACAGAAAACACATTTTAAGGTTTTCCTGTTCCAGCTGACCATATCACACCCTTCCTTCTGTTTTCCTTTCCAGACAGTGATTCTAACTAGGAGAAGATAAAGAAGTTTAACAGAAGCCTTAACTCATCTGAACCTAAACCCCCATGTCATGTTGCTGCTGTTTGCTTCCTGCCTCAACTGCTCTGTGCATGGTGCCTTCCTGTTTTGTGGAGAAAAGCTGCTTCAATTCATAGTCAAATACAAAGCTGTGTCTGTCAGGTCAGAGGGGACAGTGGCACTTCAGAGCTGCCTGCCAGGAGAACCCCCCTGGGTCACAGATAGCACTTCAAAAAATCTTGGAAAAAAGAGATATTTGGGAGTGCTGTGATCCAGGGAACTCCCCTTGCTGTGGAACACTCTGTAGGTGTTCACCTCTGGGAGTTGTGTCTGGCTGGGCTTTGTGTTTGTTTATGAAAATAATAATTTTAATCAAGTTTTTTTTCTTTTTTTTTTTTTTTTGGTGAACAAATAGTAAGCTCCTATTTAGAATGAAATTTGTGGAAGGTGAGAGTGGAAGAACAAATCATGTTTACTGCCATACTGAAAAAGGAAACTTGATTATTTTTTGTAAAATGTATTTTTGATTGGCTTGTATTTACATGTGATCTGCTGACCTGGCAGATGGAGATAATTTTTAGATGAACAAAATGTTAACTTTTGTCACTCTTGAAGTGGTATATTCTGTGTTTTGTCAGCATGTGGAATAATTGCTTCATTGGAATGTCTTTCCTAAAAAAGGATCAAGCAATAATGTCAACCAGTTCTCTTTAAAAAAAAAAAAAAGTAAAAATATGTAAATACTGTTTTTATAACAAAAAAAGGAAGGGAAGAGGGAGGATGTTACACTCATATCAGGGTTCCAGTTAATTGTTGAATGTCACTTTAATAGCAGTTCAGATAGTCCCACTTCATATTTTTATTTGTTAATCTGTAAATACCAGGTTTAAGTTTTTATTTTTATGCTGATTTTGTGGGATAACCTAAATGTGATCTTCAGTTCCTCAGATGATTTCCTGTCTTTCCTTTGGCAAGATGTGCTGATAGCAGAGTAGAGATCTCCTGGACCACACGGGTGTTTGGGTATCCCTAATTCTCAGATATTCCCTGTCTCTGGACACTGATTCTGAACCACCAACCACCATGGCCATGGAGGACAGGCTCGATTCTTGCCCCAGATAAGTGCTCTTTCAGTAAATAACCTTTAAAAGTGTGGCAGGCCAGGGGGGGAGGTGGCTCCAGGTGTTCCTCAGGCTCAACCAGGAAAACGTGGAAGAGGGAAAAGGAGAGTGGAGAGCTCTCCTCACCTGGCAGAGCTGCTTGGGCTGCACTCCCCGATCCTGCTGAGGGGCTCCTCTGCATACAAACCATAAAGCACCAGCACCTCAGCTCCTTTTTCCTTTTTGTCTTTTATTTTTTTCCCCATCAGCGTTTCGGGAGCGCGGCTCCCGTGGGGCCTGCCCAGGCCAGTGTCTGTCAGGCTTGGAGCTGCCAAAACCATGTGCCAATTCGCCTCATGGAGGAGTCACAGGGGGGGATTTGCAGCCCCAATCTGCAGGAAATAAATAGCAGCAGGATGAAATAGCAGCAGGATGGCAGGAGACAAGTCCCATCTGCACATCTCTGGCTGCCGGGTTTTATTCCGGTGGCAGCTCCCTGGAGATGAGATGGAGACGTCTGTCTGATGTAAAAGTCTTTTTCCCCTGTTGCTTTGCCCTGTTTCTCATGGGAGCTGTTGCCAGTGTTAGTTTGGCAGCCCCTCTGCTCCCCACAGAGCAGTGATGCCCAGGATTCTGATGGAATTTTGGGATGGGCCGTGTCGGTGCAGCCACCACCATTGCCCAGCTCCTTTTACAACCTTGCACAGATTCCCTTCCCTCTCCTTTAGGTGGTGGTGGAAAAGGTGACTCTTGGTGTGGGTTTTTTGGGGTATATTCCTGTGGCAGCACCCAAGGGTTCCATGGTGTGTGACACTCACCTGGGGCAGCCTGAGCAGCAGCTGCAGGTGAGGAGGATGATGGTGGCTGTTCTCACTCACATCAAATGGGGCCTCCCATGTCCAGAAATCACAGGAGCATCCCCACAGGCTGCATTTTCCACTTCCACAGGTGACAGTGTTGTGTTCCCAGCAGTTGGAGGATTTACTGGTTCTTGGTCTAGGCCAGAAATTCTGTAGCTGTTTGTGCTGAGGAAACTGAGGGGATTGACACGAGGTTTCCACACAGCCCTTGAATGTGTTTGCATTTCCACATCTGCTTGGACAATGCACTGAAATTACTGTATTGAGTAGTTTAACCTACTACTGAGAAATGTTTAATGCTTAAATGTCTAATTAAAGAGCATCTTTAGAATGTTGTTGAATGGGAAAGTGGTTTTTTCTGCTCTGTTATTTCTTTATATTGTACATGGATTAAATATCGACTTCCTTCTCTTCGGGTTATCACTCTGTAATAAAAGATATATAAATATGTTATTACTTCTTAAATGATAGAACAGACTGTAATACACTTTATATAATTCTATTTTAATTCCAAATAATGCTTCTTGGAATTTTTTTGTGCTTTCATTTTTGTTGCCATGTGCTTTTTCCTGCTGTTTATTGGAGATGGAAGTGAGCTCTGAGGTTCCTTCAGATGTGCTGCTTCCTCCACTCCTGGATCCTGCCCTGGAGCAGGTTCAGCTCTTGTCCAAAAAGGGATGCTGAAGGTGATGGAGGCCCTGTAATTTCCTTTATCTCTCCCCTCACAGCTCCTCAGCTGTTTCTCCTTGCTTAAAAAGCCACAGCAGCATTGGGTTTAAAGGTGGGATGATGTGTTTTGTGAATTCAGGGACACTTTCTGACTACCCTCCTCTCATGATCCCCAGCAATCCCTGCTCCAGGTGGTTGTGTCAGGGACTTGCACAGCTGCTCCATTGCTTTTTATTGGAATTCCCAGTTGTGGATTTCTCCCTTTTTATTTTTCTGTTTGCAAATTCACCTTTTTAACATCTGTGAATCTTCAATTTGTTCCTCATCCACCAGAGCCTTTCACTTCCTGCAGAGAAAGGAGCCATGCTTGGTTCTCCAACCTTTGCCATCCCCAGGCTTTACCCCCACACACCATCCCCTTTCCACTCCCACAGTTTGTTTCACCCTGTTCCTTCTTTGCAAACTGAAATGCACGTGGGGCAGATTTGGGAGTACAAAGTGTGGCCTGTACAATGTTTGGAGCAGCAAATCCCAGATTTCTGCAGGGATGGTGTGTTTGAGGGGCAGGTGGGCAGTTCTGGGGTGCTGCTCTGCCTCACGAGGTGCATCCAGGTACAGAACCTCTGGGGTGAGTTCCCAGAGCTGTCACTGCTGTCCCCAAGCCAGCTCTGGGGGTAAAACAAACCATTCCAGTGGAATCCAGAGCTGTCACCATAACTGTGCTCCCTGTCTGCACCTCCCTGAAGGACTCTGGGGTAAGAGCAGCTGCAGCCACGTGAGGGAAGTGTTGGATCCATCCCTTCAGCCCAGCGCTGAGAAGGAAAAACAGGTATTAATTGCTTCAATTCCTTTTAAAAATGGACTTTGAGGAGGTGAAGGCTTTTGGGGCCAGGTTGGACAGGGCTTGGAGCAACATGGTCTAGTGGAAGGTTGGGGGAGCAGGGGAGCAGAATGAGATGAACTTTGAGGTCCCTTCCAACCCAAATAATCCTGTGATTCTATGAAACCACTTCCATGGTGCTTTAAAGGGATTTGGGGTGTTCTGGCAGGGGCTGCAGAGTCCAGGCCTAGTTCTGCTCACCCAGGGAGTGGAGAGGGTGGAAATCCTTCCCCAGCTGGTAGTGAGCTCTTTTCCTGTTCACTCAAGCATAAATGTATTGCAAAAATATAATCTAAAATAACTTCTGGTTCTTCTGGTGGGATTGGCAGAGGAGGAGAGGGAGAGCCCAGGTCTGGTGGTTTATGGGTTTTTCTCATTCCATATTAAATAAAATGGTATCAAATCTGGTTTTGAAGAAGCTCTTGTGGAGATTAGGCTTTTATGTTGCTCCACATAGCCCTATAGAGTCTGTCAGTCTGGGTCACAATAAATAGATAGAAATCACATAGATAGTGTGATAGAAATCCTGTATTTTGTGTTTCCTAGGGAATAAAGATATTCTGGCTGCTGTATTTTGTTCTGCACCATTACAGTTCCAATTTAGCTTTGCCAGGTATTAACAAAAAAAATCTGTTTTCCAGCAGTCATTTTTCAAAGGGATTTAAGAGGCTGACAGTGAGAGGAAATTGAGGTCTGTTTGGGAGAGGTATCAAGGAGCTCCAGTGCCCCTTCTGTCATGTTTTTGGAATTGCCTTGTCAGTGTGGGGAGCTGGGAGAGGCAGATCCAGGGCCCTGAGGCTGTGCCAGAGCTCGGTGAATGAGGCTGCAGGGAAGGAAGGGACTGGCACAGGAAATTCTGTGTTTCTGATTCGTTGAGGACAACAGATGTTGTGTTTGGTGAGACAGAAATGAATCCATTCCTCCTCAGTCCGGTAAAACAGGAGAGGTTTCCATCCCTCTCCCGTTCAGTTTGTCCAGCCTGGTCCAGGAAATTCACCTTCAACCTTTTCTGGCAATTTCAGTTAAGATTTCATGGGTAGTTCTTGGTTTCAAGATAAGCTACACTCAGAGCAGGTAGAAAAAGCTGCAAGGACTGTAGTAAATGGGGATCTGTGCAGCTGAATAAAATGTTCCCTGAGGAATCAGGATGGTTTGGGTCTGAAGGGACTCTCAGAGGTGAAGAGGGAGTCAGGCCTGCTACCAGCAGAGTGAAATGCTCCCAGTTTGGTGTGAAATGCTCCCAGTTTGGTGCCTGGAGTGAAATGCTCCCAGTTTGATGCCTTACATCGCCCTGTGCCTGTGAAGATGGACAAACCCTTGCGCCAGGCTCCAGAAATGCCTCATCACACCCCAGGATGTGTTCCCAGCCTGATCTTGGGAAATGCCAGGCAGGGAGCCAGACTGGGGGCAGAGAAAGTAAAGGAACTCAATGGAGAGAACCTGCTTAGGGCCAAAGTTCCAGCAAGAACACCACTCTGGAAATGCTGAGCTGCTCCATCTGAGCTCCCAAAGCCAACCCTGGCCCTGCATCACACCTTGCACGGAGCCCTCACAAATGGGGTCATTTGCCTGGTTTTTGCTTCGCGCTGCTCTCAGTTTCCAGGCTAAACCCTCCCAAGGTGTGTTTGTAGGATGGGATTCAGCTCAACCCTCCCCAGGTGTGTTTGTAGGATGGGATTCAGCTCAACCCTCCCCAGGTGTGTTTGTAGGTTGGTTGAAGGTAAATCAGTTGGAGAGGATGGGGTGGATGCAGAACTTCCCACAAAACTGCTACTGGACAGGGAAGGCTGGAGGTGTGAGCAGAACCTGCCAGTGGGAGAGGAGTGCAAGGAGCTGGGGCTGTTTATTCCAGAGGCTCCTGAGGAACCTGAATGTCCCACCTTGCGCGGAGCCCTCACAATCGCGGCCATTTTGCCCGGATTTTGCTTCACGCTACTCTCAGTTTCCAGGCTTAAACCCTCCCTGGCGAACTGCTGACGGCAGAGTTTTCCAGAGAAGCTGGCAAGAAGCAGCGTGAACGTGCTGATGTGAGTTTGGCCGCTAATCTGCAGCGAAGTGAGCGGCCCTCGTGCGAGGGCTGGCCCGGAGCGATCGCCGCGGCGGCGTTTCCATGGCCCGCCGCGCTCCCCGCGCTATTGAGCCGCGATCCCATGGCTGGAATTCCGTGGACGCAGCTGCTGCATCAGCGCCCGGCCCGGGGAATTCTGCTGCTCTGGACAGAAGCAACCCCATAAATAGCGGGGCTGGCCGCGCCGCCCGGCACAGCGGAACCACACGGACAGGTAGCACTGCTGGGACTGCACGGGGGCCTACACAAAGAGTTGGTGTGTCTGAGTCAGACAGGGTTTGGCGAGAAGTGGAGCTGCAGGGTTTGATTCAGGATGTTTTCAAGCTCCTTTATTCGTCTCTTAAGCCCCTTGTTGGCGTGGCGTGTCCCAATGTTGGAGCAGAGTTTTGTGGATGTTCCTGGAGAGTGAAGAGGGGGCTCTCACCGCCATCCCCCCCAGCACAGCAGCTCCAACTGCTGGGTTTGGTGTCCCCCAGGATGCTGGAGCAAGGGAGAGATGTCAGGTTTATGTTGTGGGGAAAGATGTCAGCAGCTGGAAGCTGAGAAATTCCTGCTGGGAACAAAGGCAGGGCTGTGAGATGGGAGTTTAGTGGCAGCTAGGCTCTGTGTCCCTTGGGACATGGCTCAGTTCAGTCCTGTGGGTGCCTGGGTGAGGATTTGGGACCTGTGTGCAGGAGGGAGAGGAGGATGCATAACAGAGCTTGGACATCCCTAGGGATTCATGCATTCTGTGCTAACCCTGTTCTGTGCCAGCTTCATCCTCTGTTTCATTACCAGCTGTAAATCCTGGTGCCTCCTGCCTTAACCTGCTGCAATTTGGGTTTTCCAGGCACAATGACCGAGCAGCAAAGTCCCCCCGAGCAGATGGCGACTGGGGAGGGTGCTGGCGAGCGAGGAGGCACCTATAAGGTATACTGGGCTATACTGGGCTGTACTGGGGACAACTGGATGCTGGGTGGAGCCATGGGATGCCAGGCTGGAACCAGTGCTGGGGTCAGGAGTGGCCTTCAGCTCTCCCACAGCAGCAATGGCTGGCCACGCTCTGGTGTTGAGCCTGGGGGGCTGCAGGTTGGGAAGCAGCTGGGGCTGGGGATCTGCTGCTGCTGCTGCCTGCAGGAGGGACACTGCTCCCTGCCTGTGTGGCTGGCCAGGCTGGTGTGCAGCTGCCCTGGGGTTTAATCAGGAGATGAAGCATCCCAGCACAGCAGGATCAGCTGTGGGCCCAGGCACTGAAACTGCCCAGGTGTGTTTGTAGGTTGGGATTCAGCTCAGCCCTGCCCAGGTGTGTTTGTAGGTTGGGATTCAGCTCAACCCTGCCCAGGTGCGTTTGTAGGATGGGATTTAGCTCATTTGGTTGAAGGTAAATCAGCTGGAGAGGGTGCAGTGGGTGCGGAGCTTCCCACAAAGCTGCTCCTGGATAAGGGAAGGCTGGAGGTGTGAGCAGGTGCCAGTAGCTGGGGCTGTTGATTGCTTTGGGGTGCACAGAGGCTCCTGAGGAACCTGGGTGTCACCTCTGTCCCTTGAGCCCCCCATTATGTGATGCGTGTGCAGGAGGCTCTGCCCTAGTCCCAGACTGAGGTGTTGCAGCTGGGACCCCTTTGGGACAGTGACAGGGAGTGCCTGCTCACCCCACTGACCCTCCTGGTCCCTGAATAGCGCTGGGCACCCTGCCCCATGCCATGGTCTGCTGCTGACACTGGCTCCAGCCCATCCTGGGGTCTCTGCACCTGGCAGGGCTCAGAAAGAAACACTGAATGAAGAGCTTGTGCCAGGCATGGTTGGATCTGGAAGGAGCAATGATAAGGAAATGATAATGAGCAATGACCAGGCTGCGGGTAAGAGAGGCAGCCCATGGCTCAGGAATTCTCTTAGCCCAAACTTTTCATGTTTCCAGTGCTGTGTTTGAGCTGGTTTTCAGCCTGTCATGGATAAAAATCCAGCTTGTGCTGGAGCAGACAACCTTGACTGGAGCTCTGTCAGAGGCACTGGCAGGACCCAGCTCTGCCAGGCAAGGAGTGGCATTGGCACAGGATGGTCAGGATGGAGGGACACAGCCAGAGCCCTTTGATCACTGCTGCCCCCATTTCCTGGGGGTGCCTGACAGGGTCTCTCCCCACCTTAGATCACCATCTACGAGCTGGAGAACTTCCAGGGGAAAAGGTGTGAGCTGACAGAGGAGCTGCCCAACATCACCGAGAAGGAGATGGAGAAGGTGGGCTCCATCCAGGTGGAGTCTGGCCCGTAAGTCTGGGCTGGGGGAGGTGGAGCAGCCCCGGGGGTGGCAGGGAGAGCATCCCCCTGAGCCTGGGCTCCTGCAGGTGGCTGGGCTTCGAGCGCCAGGGCTACGCTGGGGAGCAGTTCGTGCTGGAGAAGGGCGACTACCCCCGCTGGGACTCGTGGTCCAACAGCCACAGCAGCGACAGCCTGATGTCCATCCGGCCCCTCCAGATTGTGAGTGGGGCTGTGTGGGGTGGCCACAGCGCTGGGGGCCACCAGGGGACAGCCCCTGAGCCGCCCTTTCCCCCAGGACAGCGCTGACCACAAGATCCACCTGTTTGAGAACGCGGGCTACACCGGGCGCAAGATGGAGATCGTGGATGACGACGTGCCCAGCCTGTGGGCCCACGGCTTCCAGGACAGGGTGGCCAGCGTCAAGGCCCTGAATGGAACGTAAGGATGGGCACACAGGGGACACCCCAGCAGCTTCCTGCCCGTGGCACTGTGGTTTGTCCCCCCAGGGTAGTGGCAGGGTCCGTGGTACTGCTCCCATGGTGCTGCTCATGCCCAACGTGTCCCTGGTCCCCTCCCTGCTGCCACCTTTTCCCTGGCCCACAAGGAATAACACGGACCATGGCAGTGTCCCTGGGGCTGGATGATGGCTCCTTGCCCTAACCCACCACCCATCTGAGCTGTGGTCCCTTCTCCATGAACTCTCCATCCCCTCCTGTGGCATTTCTCACCTGGGCACTGGGGCCTGTGTGGTGGCACTTGGTGACACAGGAGTGGTCTTGGGCAGCATCACCTGGCTGTGGCAGGCAGAGATGGAGACACTGGGATGGGGATGGGGACACTGGGATAGGGATACTGGGATGGGAATGGGGACACTGGGATGGGGATGGGGACAGGGGCACTGGGACAGGGATGGGGACACTGAGACGGGTATGGAGGCACTGGGGTGGGAACACTGGAGTGGGGATGGGGACACTGGGATGGGAATGGGGACACTGGGATGGGGATAGGGACACTGGGATGGGGGCACTGAGACATGGATGGGAACACTGGGGTGGGGATGGGGACACTGGGATGGGCATGGGGGCACTGAGACAGAGATGGGGACACTGGAATGGGGACACTGGGATGGGGATGAGGACACTGTGGTGGGGATGGGGACACTGCCCCTGCTCCAGGGGCTCTGTGGGTGTGGTGTGAGCACTGCTGAGCCCTGCCCCGATCCCCACAGGTGGGTGGGCTACGAGTACCCCGGCTACCGGGGCCGCCAGCACGTCTTTGAGAAGGGCGAGTACCGGCACTGGAACGAGTGGGACGCCAACCAGCCCCTGATCCAGTCGGTGCGGCGCGTGCGGGACCAGCAGTGGCACCAGCGGGGCTGCTTCGAGAACAGCTGAGGGAGCCCGAGCTGCCGGGGCCGCCCCGGGGCTCCCCCCGCTGCTGCTGCTGCTGCTGCTGCCGTGACCGTGGTGTTCTCTTTGTGCAAAATCCAAAATAAAGCTCTGAGCTGGAGCCGGCGGGGCCTGCCTGGTCCTGGGGCTGCGGGAGGGTGGGATGGGGATGGGGATGGAGGGATGGGGCTGGGGATCGGGATGAGGATGGGGATGATGAGGATGGGGATATGGGGATGGGGCCGTGCCCAGCGAATCCCGCTCAGGGCCCAGCGGGCAGTGCCAGTGTTTGCAGTGTTACATAAAGGCTGCAGCTTTCCAAAGATAACCCCCGGCGCTGCCGTGTCAGGGTTTTTCCAGCGCCTCTGTCCCTTTTCACAGCATTCCCTGCCCGCTCCCAGGGCGGCTGGCCAGGCCCAGGGCAGGGAGGGGGCCGGGGGGATGTGGAGTGCCCATCCCTGGGTGCTGCCAGGCCCTGTGCTCATCCCGTGGTGGGATGGATGGCTGTGCCCAGCCTCAGCGTCCTGCAGGGGCTCCAGCCTGTCCCCAGGGAAAATTCCCACAGTCCTGGGCTGGTTTCTCCCATGGGAATGAGTTCTGACATGGGGGGCTGTGCTCGGGCAGAGGTGGGGGGTTCAGGGATGCCGCAGGGTGCTGGTGGGACACTGAGCTGCCCTGGCACTGCCCTTCCCCGGGGACACCGTGGCCATGCTTGGGACACACTGGGATGGAGCAGAGACGGGTGGTGGGCTTGAGTCGATCCAAGGGCTTTGTGCAGGTCCCTGAGGAGCCCCCCCAGAGCTTTTCCCTTTGGAGAGGGGTTGGTGGCTGTGCAAGGCGAGTGCCTGGCCCCCAGAGGCAGAAGCTGCTTCCAGAACAGTCCATGGGGCTGCCATGCCATGGGCTGGGATGAGCTCAACCAGCCCAGCCAAGGGAGGGGATCCCTGGGGCCGTGCTGAGCACTGACAGCCCCTGCTGAGGGGAGGGGATGGGGCTGCAGGGCTGCTCTGGCACCTGGGGCAGAGCCATGGGGGTCCAGAGTTGGGATTGACTGAATGGATTAACCCAGGAGATGGGGAGGGCAGTGCTGGGCCCATCTGTGCGGAGATGGAGACACAGGCAAGAAAGGAGAACTCCAGGGCTGGGAATGCTGGAAACTCTGGGTCACACCCAGCCCTGTCCATGGCCTGATGGGTTCCTTGCAGAGCTGCAAGGTCAGCTCTGGACCTGGATCATCATCATCACCTGGAGCTGGGGCAGCTGCAGATTCTGGGGATTGACCCCACACATGTCACTGCCAGGGTGGGCTCTGGTGACAGCACCCTGTGGGTGACCCTGTGTGCAGCCATCCTGGGCTAGGACATGGGGCAGGGGTGACTCTGGGGGGCTGCAGCCCATCCCCTGCTGTGGAGAGGTGCTGTAAGAGGGATGGGGTCTGTTCATGCTGGGTGACACTTGCTGGGGTGACAGAGGGGATGAAGGGTGGGGTGAAGGGGGCTGTGAGTGCTGCACAGCAGCAGTGTCCCCCCTCTTTGTGAAACCTCCTTTGCTGCAGCCCCCAGCCCCGTGCAGCCCCTGGCTTAGCTGCTGGGACAATGCCAGCATAGGGGGCATGCACTGCTGCCCTCACCTCTGCCCAGCCACATCCCTGGGGATGTGTGAGCCCTTTGTGACCTCAGCTTTGTCCTGGTATCACCGAGACACCCTGGGGTGCTTCTCAGGGACCCCAAATGAGCCCAACACCCAAACTTGAATGCACCCCAGCCCCAGGGTGCTGCCCCAGAGCGTTCCCAGCAGCTCCAGGTGATGCAGTTTCAGTGCCAGAGGGGCCAAGGTGACCTCGCAGCTGTGCAGGGCAAATTCCCCCCATCCCCTGCCCATGCCCGGAGCCCCGGGCCGGGGTCGGGGAGGCTCCGCGGTGCCCCCGCTGCTGGCACAGCCCCGGGGCTGCTGCAGACGGGCAGAGCCAGACGCTGCCCAGCGCTTTGGGGCGTTTTATCTCGCATGGAAAGAGCCGAGCTCAGCAGCCCCGCTGGCGGCTCCGGGCTGGCGGGGGGATCGGCTCTCCCAGCGCCCCGAGCGGGGCTGGCGGGGCTTTGTTGGCCCGGCCCGCCCCGGCTCTTGGCACGCGTTCGGCTGATGCTTGCAAAGTCCAAATCTCCTCGCCACCAAGCCGACAAAGCGGGTGACTCGAATGTGACAGGTAATGAAATAACTCGGGCTTGGTGCTCGGGCAGACAAAGGCGGCGGCGGATCAGCTGACCCTGGTTTTCATTGGGGTTTAATCCAGCATTCTCGCTTTGAATCGGGCTTTAACTATTTTGTAAATAGTTTTGGCACCTCTCTGCTGCCGCTCGGTATAAATTCCACCTCCCGGCCCCGGCCCGTCACTGGCTCAAGCGGGTACTGGTAGAACTGGTAAGACTTTGCTATTTATTGTCCTTTATTTTGCCTCCTGCCGACCCCCTGGGCCGGGATCCCTTCCTTTGGGGACAGCCCCGTCCCCGCAGCCCAAAGCAGGACATCCCACCCGGCCACGGCTCCGTTGCTTTTTGTCAGGAATGAGTTTTTGGAGCTGCTCAGATGCTGAGGGTCCCTCTGAGCTTGAGGACGGGGCTCCTTCCCGGGAGTGGCAGCGCCAGGCTGGGCTGGGAGGGCTCGGCACAGGCTCCTGGGGCTGGGGCTGGCTCCGGGTGCTTCTCTCCATCACCCCTTCCAGCACACACGTGGCACAGGATGCTCAGCTGGGCAGGGACAGCAGGGAATGCTCGGCCACAGGACCTGGGCTGCACTGGGAATGATTTAGGGATTGCCTGGGCTCCACTGGGAATGATTCAGGAATTGCCTGGGCTCCACTGGGAATGATTTAGGGATTCCCTGGGCTCACAGTTCCCTGTGCAGGTCCCAAGGAGCATTGCCTGAGGCTGAGGAGGTTTGGGGTGCTGAGCAGCCCTGAGCAGAGTTTGTCCCTGGCACCCCCAGGCTGAGCCCATCCTGGTCCCACCACCCTCTTCCCTGGGCAAGCTGCAGGGTATGGATGGGGGCATGGACACGGGGCTCTGAGCAGAGTCCTCGCAGGGAATTTAACAGATTTTAACCTGCTGAGCTTCCCTCCCAAGGCAGCAGACACCCCAGCTGATGATGGCTTCCGAGCACCAAATGCCAGCCTCCAAGCAGCAGCAAGCCAGCTCCAAGGTCAGTGGGACACTGCCCAGCCCTGCAGGGGTTCCAGGGCACCCTCAGCCTCTCTGGGTGCCCAAATCACACCCGGAGGCACTGCTGGTGCCAAGCACTCCCTGCTGAGCCTTTGCAGCAGGACCCGGGGATGGGAATGGGAATTTTGGGCATCCCGCAGGCTCGGGGCAGGTGGAGCGGCTGGGAACAGATCAAGGGCTGATCTCCCACAAACCGCTGCACAAACAACAGATCTGACCCTGAGATCTGTGCTGGGCTGGTGGCCCCGGGGCCGTCCCCAAGTGTCGCCGTGTCCCTCTGGTGTCCCTCTGGTGGCTGCGGTGCTCCAGGCACAACCCGAGCCCCTGAGCTGTTTGATGCCCACTGTGAGCGTGGCCATCCCTCTGCCAGGAGCACCGGGGCACTGGGGCAGAGCTGGCAGGGCCTCCTGGGCACCCGTGAGCGAAACCTGCATCCTCAGGGGGATGGTTTGCACTTGCAGGCTCATTAAAAGCCTCTGGAGTGCAGGTTTTGGGAGAGGGAGAGGTCTGGGCTGCTGCAGATGTGCTGCTCCGTGGTGGGAACAGCGTGTGCCCTCACAGTGGCATCAGGGGCAGGTGACAGCCGTGCTGAGGTGCTGCTCCCTTGCAGATTGCCATCTTCGAGCAGGAGAACTTCCAGGGCCGCTGCCATGAGCTCAGCGGGGCCTGCCCCAACCTGAAGGAAGCCGGCGTGGACAAAGTGGGCTCCATCCTGGTGCACTCCGGACCGTACGTGGGGGCCCTGGGGGGTGGGAGGGGACGGGGAGGAGGGAGGGGGCTGCCCCGTTGCTCATCTCACCGCGGATTTCCCGGATTTCCCTCGCCCATCGCCGCCGAGCTGCTCGCCCAGCTCAGCCCAGCGAGTGCCCGGTGCTGGCAGGTGAGCAGGGGACACAGAGGGCGACAGGGGGTGACATTGTCACCTGGGCAGGCTGAGAGCCCCGCTCAGCACAGGAGAGTGGAGGGCTGTGGGTGTGGATATGGGCAGAGATCACAGCGCTACCCCAGTTTGGTTTCCCTCCCTTTGGGCGCAGGCACAGGTGGGACTGGGATCTGTTTGTGCCCTCTCCCCACCTGCTGGCCCCGTGTGTGCTCTCCGGGCAAGGGAGAGCCCTGAAAGGCCCCTGGAGAGTTCCCAGTGCTGCTCCCAGAACAGAGGGGCAGCTGGTGGGAGCACAACCCCAGCTGGCACATTTGGGTGATTATCGCCGGCCGGGGGCTGTGTACAAATCACGAACGGGACGGGACTTTCCCAAAACCCTGTAATTTTGTAGATTCTCACAGGTGATCCCATGAGTGCCCAGGGACTAAGGATGGGTGGCCACCCCAGCGGGAGGCCCTGAGATGCCACAGCTGGCCGGAGGCACCGCAGCCCCCCTGGCACCTCTCCCATCCCTGCAGGGAGCAGGGGGCACAGCTGGGGCTCATCCCGGCCGATCCCCGCTCCTCTGCCCCCTCTAAAGCGCGTCCCCTTCTCTCTTGCAGCTGGGTGGGCTACGAGCAGGCAAGCTGCAAAGGGGAGCAGTTTGTGTTTGAGAAGGGGGAGTACCCCCGCTGGGACTCCTGGACCAACAGCCGGAGAAGCGACAGCATCACTTCCCTGAGACCCATCAAAGTGGTGAGAGCACCCAGACAGCCACTACCCACCCGCCAGACCAAGGTCTGCAGCCAGAAGTGTTCCCCAGCCTTCCCCCGCCCTCCCCAGCCCCGCGGGCGGAGGGGCAGCTCCCCCTCCTGCGCACCCTCGCCCCAGCCCTCGGGGCCCGGGGAGCCGTGGGGGGGTCGGAGGGG